CATCAACAGTTTAGCAGATCAGCAGATAATTCCATTTGTAAATAAAATCAAAAGGTGAAGTTTCCCTGGATATATTAAGCTTATGGCACTTTTCAAACTTACTTACTGTTGATCTAATGAAATAGTGCTGTAAAATTTGTTATTACAGCACGGGCAACAGGCTACACTTTTAGGGAAAAAAGGCTGCTGAGCTGTGCTTTCTTTGCTTCTTGTGATTGGATTTAAATGTTATTATAAAAGGCATATTTCTTCCATAGTGCCCCCATGATATACATCCAATGGTTACCCAGCATTACCTGTATAAAACAGAGATGATAAAATGTGTGTTTTACATTTACGACAGACTGAAATAGTGGAAGCACTTAAATGCTGCATCCACATGTTTCAGATTGTATTTCTCTCATTAGATTTTTTTTTAACTTAGGGGCATCCTTGACCTACTTCCTGTGAAAGCCTGCGATGGAGTGACTCACCAGTCTTTGTGGCAGTGAAACATTTATTTTGAAGCTTCTTCTGTAGCCTGATGGACTGAGTAGAACAGACTGTAGTCCCATGAGGTTTGGGCCCTCCTATAGCTGAGAAGGTTACTATAGTGTTACACGCAGTAAGAAGAGGAGAAGCAGAGTCATTTTACTGATTCACTCACACAAATACAAACAGGGCTGCTATAGTTTTGTGTATAAACAACAAACTAGTATCAAAAAAGAGATATAATACAATTCCCCAGAAGATGTAGGTCTACCTTTAATTTAGTGACACTCGCACATGGCTTATACGGGTCAACACAAGCTCAATATATAAACACGATCTGTATTCTTTGTGTGTTACGTTTGTGGCAGTATCACAAAACTTAATGAGACACTATCAAAAACTCTCAAACTATATGTCTTTGTGCATCATTGGTTAAGCGCACTACCTTGCTTATTACTTCTTCTTGCCATATATGACTTCAATGGTGGATTCATAAAACCCAGCAGTATTTCAGACTGACTCACCGCTAAATCTGCTCAAACAATGTCTCCAGTGTTGTTCCTTTGCTCTGCTCCCATCTCTAATTGGGACTCTGTTATGAAAACAAACAATCATTTAGAGATATTATGCTATAATTAAAGCAGAAAGCCACAAGGGGCCGAGCTCCACCGTCAGTGCAGAGCAGTTTTGAGGCAATGCAAGCACAAGGTGAACTCGGAATAAAAGTCTAAAAAAAAACATAACTTAAAACATAAAGGCAACAAAAAGTTTTCAAACCTGCCTTGTGTTAAATCATTTCAAACTCTTTTCTTTTTAATCTCTTTTAAGGAATTGGAGAACTGTGGTTATAAAGGTGTCTATTTCTCGTTCCTGCTTTTTGTGCTATTTCTTTGTTGGGATTTTTTCTTTAAGTCTCAACGGTAATCTTTTTCATACAAGTTTCCTATTTTTTGCTAAGCTTTTGCAGGATCCCATTTTAGGTTATTGGAAAGTTAACTTTTTACACCAGCATCAACTTTTGAGTCACCAGAGTACAGCTTAATATTTAATCAATAGTGATAAAATATTACTCATGATAGAAAAAGGATATCCTTACATTATTTAAGGGAACAGATATAAAAAGTTGCTAATCCAGGCTTCTGTGTTCTAAAGTGGGGTGGTCGCGGGGGTCAGAGGAAAGTACTTTCACCTCAAAGATACTCGACCCCTGAGCTGTACGTGTTCAAACAGAGAGTCAGCTCCACTCAGGTCATCCGGCAACCAGACGCCAATAACTGTCCCAGAGGCTCCAGGCCCTCCCATGTCTGTACATCTCCTGTGTGTGTTAGTGAGTGTGTGAGAGAGTGTGTGTTTGTAGTGAGAGGCAGTAAATCACAGCAAGATGGATTAGCAACAGGTGTGGAAACACTAAGCAGTGAAACAGGCAGTAGAAGGGGTAGCAATGAAAAGTGATCAGGAAGGAGAAGTGGAAATGATGGCAAGGAGAAACAGAAAGAAGACAGATGAGCACACATGGAGAGAGATAGATGTTTTTTTTATCAAAAGGGGATAAGGTGAAAAAAAAGAAAAGAGAGCGGCATTAGACGTGGTTGGATGACCGTTTACTGTGGCAAAGTGGAAAACCAGAGAATGTTTTCATTGCAGATAAAGACAGAATAGAGTCTATAAGGCTTATAAATAGGTATAGTGTAAATAGCTAAAAGCTGTCATTGTCATTCATTTTATTCTATGTGTTGACTCTGATCACATTGACAATGACATTTTTGAAGAAAACCTCACACCATGCAGGGGAGTAGTAGTAGTTATGCGACCACTAAAACTTTTAGCAGCAATTTAAGAATATGAACAAATTAAACCAGTAAAAGTAAAGTCTTTTTTCTTCTTCTTGTATTGAGTCTTTAACTGCACTAAATGCAGTTTTCTTTAACCTATTATAATCTAACTAACAGTAAAATCACTTCAACTAAAGTTTACTGCTGTTTACTATCACATCGTCATGCTAACACAATTTTGAAGATGTCAGAAATGTAATATTTGTACCCTGCTCATTATTAAAAATAAAGTTGTCTGTAACTCTAACAGTGAGCCTTTTCAGCTCCTGATGTAATTAAAGTGATTACTGCAGAAGGTGTCTGTTCTCATTTACCTTGAAATACCAACCCTGCAAAGTGCCTAACCTTCCGTTTAGTAACACTATCCATAGCCAGAAAGGAAATAGCTGACTCATTACACAAGATATCTTTATATATTTAAGTTCATTTTTTTTCCAGATTTCTATAATCCTACTGTTTGAATGTAACAGCTGAATTCTCTTCTTCATTGTAGTCCTATTTCATCGTCCTTCAACGTCCCCCCTCCTCTCACCATGAGCTCCTGGGTGGTGAACAGGAAAGGAGAGCCCCAATACCGCCGGCACTTCCTCAAAGACAACAGCACCTTTCACGGTAAACATCATTCAGGCACAACAGAATAATGTAATTTAATTCATGTTCACAACTGTAAGACATTGAAATGAACAGCAGAGGGAGACTGCTGTGCGTACAGGCTTTTACTGCAGACTGCTCGGCTGAGATTCAGTTTTGTGATATAAACCCTTTTATAGTTTATGTGTTCAGAAAACCTCATTCAAAGCACTTTAATGTGCGATAAGAATGGAAGATGGTGCATTGGACTTTACATGGATTGATAACTGTGTTTTTTTGCAGTATATATACTGTAAACAATTGTGCAGAAATAGGCTGCAACAACTGCATTTCTTCACATTTCTCTCTATGGCTGATTCATACACGAGTACACATGAGTACATGATTTGATGATAACCTATAGCAAATAATGCAATTTTCCTCTTTTCTTCCTCCTTGAAAGATACTTAAAATAGTCAATTTGATGGGGATATATGAGTTTCGAGACTGATCCGCCAGATAACTCAAAGACATATCTTTGACACATCTACAGCACACAGACCACTTAACAGCAAGCATCAAACCATGGCACACTGAGTTTGTGCTTTCAGATTGTTCTGTAGCAGAAATCAAACTTGATTGCTTCGCTCTCTGCTGTGGATGATGGATTGACCTGACTGATGCAGAGAGTGAACACGAGTCTCAGTTTCCCCCTCTGTCATGCTTTGTACTAAGGGTCTTATCACATTTATGGGAATGTCACTCATTTGTTCTTCATTTGGAATACAACCCCTTCAATCCAAAGCTGTTTTTTCTTTAAAAAAAATGAAAATGAAATGCCAACCGAGCATGAAATGAGAAGACATTTTTTAAAATTGAGATTGAGACGTCTTTACAGTCCATTGAAGATATCATAGCCTGATTCTAATCTAGCAGCCTTATTGAAGCTAGTAGAGTGAAAACGAAGGAAACTGGAAATAATTTGTCTGTTCTATTGGCAAGAAAACTATCAGATTCATTTGATCTCTGTCTATGTTTCTGATCATGACCTCGACAGTAGGTATTCCCATTGGTATATGAACTCTTACAGAAGCTGCTTATCTTATTTTTCTTTCCTTTATTTCTACTTGACCTTGATTCCTTCAGGCTCGTTCCCCTCTCCAAGTTGTTTCCTGTATTGTCTTGAAGACAAAGTTGCAGATGTTTTTAGTTTGGACATGGTTCATAAATCAGTGTGAGCGGAAGGGAAACTGTCTGAGATCAGACAGGTGTGGATGAAGAGAGATTTACAATTAAATCAAGGAAGCACACAAATATGTTCAAGTATACATGGAGTGCTCTCTCTCTCTCTCTCTCTCTCTCTCTCTCTCTCTCTCACACACACACACACACACACACACACACACACACACCCCTACATGCTATCTTGAGCTCAGGATGACACTGGTGTTCAGACATGTCTTGTTGTTCCTCCAGACAGCACTAATCGATTTAGTAACACTGGCCTCTGGCTCTTAGTGCTCAAACATGTAGTGGTTCTGTAATTGTCTCCTGCAAATCTTAATTAAATAGCTTTCACGTGGACCAATGAGCAGCACTAATCTGGGAGCTCCTCATTGAACCAAACTTTCATCAGGGAATTAACTCACCTAGGATGAGACACTCGAGGCTGGCGTGCGCGCATGACACACACACACACACACACACACACACACACACACACACACACACACACACACACACACACACACACACCACACACACACACACATTTAGAACTACCCCTTAATTAATGTTCAAAAATCTGCGCTCTCTGAGATTCTCCTTTGACTCTCTTGGGACTTTCATGTGCGCGTGTATATGATGGCACGTGCACAGTCATATACTCCAGGAATCATGTTTTCCTGCTGGTTTTCTGAGAGCTACGAGACATGGACAGAGAGACACTGGGGCACACTGAAAAAGCTTGGGTCAAAGCGCTGACATGCCTGCGCGACGGTGACTCTATTCTCTCACGGATATAAACGGGAATTGCTACCAAGATCCCAATTTGGTGAAAAATGTCAAAACTGTCGCCAAACAGCCTGACCAGAATGGCTGGCAAAGCTGATGAAAAGTCCAAATGGACAACTCAGACATCGCTCTGCGCGCCATCACTCACTCTAACCCAATCCGCGCCAGTCTCGCGCTCTTTCTCATTAACATCCACTCTCCAGTCTGTCCATCGAGCGAGTGAGAAATCGGATTATCCTTTTTGCCTCTGTGTAGCGCTTGCATGGTGAGAGGATAGGATGTGCGAGTGGATGCTGGGTGGTGAGAGGTTGGCAGAACACTCTGAGGTAGATGCTGGGGAGCAGTTGGTTTGAGAGCTTGTTATTTTTTTTTTGGATTCAAAAAAAAAAAAAAAAGTGACATTTCATCAGCATGGCGCGCTTTTTTTGTTAATTAGAGAAACTGTTTTATCAGGTATATTTTCACGGATTTTCACACCGCTATAACCAGGATACAAAAAAAAATACTTCTAAAACGCATGGCGGGAGCTTGTGAGAGCAACAACTCCAGTCCTTAATGGCAGAACTTGAAGTTTGCAGGAATCTGAGTTTGGAAAAGGGTAAGGGATCATTCTTAATTTGTACTGACGTTTTGCTGATGTGTCTGTCCCTCATAAATGCGGGGGGAATATTGTGTGTGCTGCATGCATTCCTTTGGTATTCCTTTGAGTAGCCTATTGCAAGATGCCCATGCGTAATTTCTCCATTGCGCTTTTTTCTTTTTGAGAAATTGCATAACTCAAACTGCAACAGTCACTAATTAGAGATTGTCAATTTGCAGGATACATTCACCGTGCACAATTAATGTTCATCGACATTTTGGGTACAACACATAACAAATATTTTATATTGCAGAAATCAGTTTTTAATTTCAATTCGAGTTAGAAAACTTGCTGCAAATTTTGTCAGTTTTAATGAGAGCTCATGATGTAGAGCAGCAGTGGAGCAGCAGCAGGAAACTGTCCCTGGTGCTGAAAATACCCCTTTGTGATCGTCACCAGGGGGCAGAAAAGCCTCTGAATTTGATCTGACAGGACCTGCTTTGGCCTCAGTCCACATGGCACAAAGGTGTGGATTTGCCACATCCTTTACAACCCTGCATCTTCTGCACCATTTACAGAAATTTTACGACCTATCGAGATCTTTATCGAATCCTTTGGTGAGAAGTTGCCTGAGGAAATGACCACCACATAGCTTTATCATATGCCATGCAGCTCAGTGACAGCGCTGCATCGGAGAGAAATAGGAATCCCTTGAAAGCCGGGCAGGGCATGTTTGCGCCACACAATTGTGACAGAGATTTGGGCCGAGCTTTGATGGCAAAATTGAAACCCGAGCAGTCCCAGGGCTATTAGTGAAACCCTTTTGCTCTCTGCCGTGTGCTGTCAAAAATGTGTTGCATCACTGGCAGGATGTGTCAAGCTGTCAGTCTTCATCCCAAGTCTCGGTGTGTCTTTATCTTTGTGAGAGTTGTGTTGAGAGACGATGGCTCCTGTCTGCTGCTTTGGCAAATGGGCTACCTCTTTATTCATTTTGGCAACCCTAGTGCTCAGAGGAGTTGCATGCCAACACTGGCCCCTTTACAGAGACAGAAAGGAGAAAGAGATGATGGAGGAAGAGAGGTTTGGAGGAGTATGCATGGCTGCTAATAATCTCCACATGGAGGAAATGGCTTTTCCATGTAAAATGTGTTTTTCCTCATGTGTCTCTCCTGTTCTGATGATTATGATGAATCTCAGCATGCCCCCATCCCCCTTTGTCATTTCCCTTTTATTTCTGTTGCTCCAGGGCAGAGAAACAGCCAACAGCCACCACAGGAACACACAATCATCCTTTCAGCTATTTTCCTCTTTTTACTGGAGTTGCGGTTATTATCAATCCTCTTCTCTCCTCTTCCTCTCCTCTCCTCTTCCTCTCCTCTTCCTCTCCTCTCCTCTTCCTCTCCTCTCCTCTCCTCCCCTCTCCTCTCCTCTCCTCCTCTCCTCTCCTCTCCTCTCCTCTTCCTCTCCTCTCCTCTCCTCTTCCTCTTCCTCTCCTCTCCTCTCCTCTTCCTCTTCCTCTCCTCCCCTCCCCTCCCCTCCCCTCCTCTCCTCTCCTCTCCTCCCCTCTAACAGCCAATTCGTACCTTCTGAAATGTGTCTGGAATTATGAAGACAGAAATCAGACAAGTACTAAAAGCCGACATTGATGGTCTGATACAATTGATGTTGATGTCAATTAATGCAAATTATTCACAAGTACGTAACAGTTTGGACTCAACACCTAAACTCAACAAGTATTGAAAGATTTCAAGCATCGCCTCTCCTCTCTTTTCTCAGCTCCATTCAGGTTATATTTCTGTAGCACCAAGTATTAAAGACATCTAAGAGCGGAAAGCTGGTACTGAATGTTTGATCACGTCCTGTTTTATTCTCTTAGATATTTGAGCTTAAACTTAGGTTAAATTAAAATAAATCAAAGAATACCCTTCCATAATCTCCTTTACTATTCTGTATTTACACCTGTATTTTCCAGTTAAGCTTAAATATGTCACATTTAAACATTTTCATCAACTAGCTCTTGTTCATATCCAGGTTCATTAACATGCTTCTTTGTCTTTTTTTCTTGATTCAGAAGAAGTCTAATTTGCATTTACATTGCATTTTTCACTGATGAGGCGTTACAGTACCTTCATGCCTGTTGACTTAGCTGTTTCTCACATCAAGCATACAGGATGTGAATGTATAACAACTGGTTATATAAACTCACTGGGATTCTTAAGGCTATCATCGATATCAAGCTGCAGCTGGAGAGTTTTTAAAGGCATTTTAAATGTGCTCTCTATAGCTGTTACTCAGTGAGAAATATAAACCCAATTATACTTGCTTTTATTTCATTTTCTTCCATCCCCTCTGCAGTTGATAAGCTACCCAGGAGCTCGGTCAACTTAATATACTCAGCGCTACTTTTAGCCATTTTTTGTGTCCTTAAATGTAGCACCAGTGAGGCAGTTATATTTCATTTGAAGCAGTAGATCAGACAGTTTTCATAGCAGTCTGGCTCTGTTGCCAAAGATACTGTATCTCCATCTCCTCACAGTCATCCAGCCTGAGTTTGGAAGAAAGAATATGCCTTAACATTGCAGTAACCGTCAACATCAATACTTAAACCCCCCCCCTCACATATAGACTCCCACACACTCACACAGGCTTCAGTTCCCTTCTTTGATGTCTATGCAGTGAACTCCTCCACTCAGGGAGCCCCCTGTAGCATATTTTGGTGAATGCATTATCATGCTGCAGTTGTCATGTGTTTATTTTTATTCCGGTGCTGCTTCACACCCTGCTCCCCGAGGAGACCCGGGAACCCGTTTGTAGCATCGCTGCTGCCTTGAGCGTTCTTAATTAGGCGAGGTGGCTGACTGTGAGATAAGAGTGTGTGTTTTCCCAACCTTTCATGTCGCTAATGAGTGGATATACCAACATATTTTTGACTTCTTACGCACAGGTTTTGTCTAATTACCTTTTATATTGGAGTTTGTCCCCTGAGGTGAGCGTAGCGTACAGAATTCTGCTACGTAGAGTGTGAAGTACTGAAGCTATTATAGTGAGGAAACACTGCCACTGGTAGGCTTCAAATTTCATAAGAATTTAGTGTTGTTAGTCTGTAGCAGCTGCTTATCAGTGTCACTAAGGATGTCCTGTATGTACAAATATAAGGCTTTTCACATTAGAAAATCCACAGCCATGCAAGCAGTTTGACAGGCTTTATCTGAGCTCTATGCTTTCATTGAACAGAATGCTGACATACTTGCACAACATGTTAGCACGTTAACCTTTAGCCAATAATGCATTATGTTTCCTTAAAAAGATGTGCTCTTCAACCATAGACTGTAAATATTAACGGACATTGCCTGAGCGATGTCACCCATCTGTTACTGCAGGGGGCTTTGGAGTCCCATCGATGGCTGTCAAAAAAATCACCCCCTGTATAGTGTGTGCTTATCAAGACATGAGCTAATCAGACCTATTTTTTTTTTGAACCAGGCTCCAAATTCCACTGTAAACACGAGTATATAATACTGTCACCATAGATTGTATAAAACATAGACGTATGTTCAGTGACGTCATCAATTGGTTTCTGAAGAGGTATTATGAGGCCGAACAATGTTGGTTGCCATGTTGGATATTGTATCTCATCCTTATTTTTGTCACTCTAGCAACGGGTAAAGAAGTGGAGTTGAAATGGGCCTCCTTGCAAATGGCTACAATGTGCCACTTAACTCAGAGACACTACTAATGATACAAATGTTTGCCTAACTCAAAAATCAAGATTTGAAAAAAAAAAAAGAATTCCTGTACATAATTTACCAATAAAGAAACGATCTGTCTTGACCTAAATCATTTTTTGAACCAGGCTGTAACATTTTTATTTCTACTGTAACAATGAAAATTTAAACATGGGACCAAATTGAGTTTCCTTAGTTTTTGAAGCCAGCCTCAAGTGGACATTTGAGGAAATGCAGTTTTTGTGCACGTTTGCATTTTTCAACAGCAAGATTGTGGCTTGACTGTCAACTGATGTTATAGTTATGTAGGTTTTTTCTGTGTTAAAAAAGAGACATTTTCATCGCATATTGGGGGTTTATAAAACGTCAGTAGGAAGTTATAAGAATTCATCGTCTATAAAGGAACCATGAATGGCTGTTATAAAATAGTACAAATGGCATGAAATAATGGAGAGAGAGATACATCTCTCTGAAGCCGGAGGGATGTTGCAGTTAAAGGTCAAAATTCTAACCTCTAACCCACAGCTTTATTTTTTTTGTGCAAGTGGCCTCTTGAGGTTGAGTGAATGATGTGTTTTTTTCTGTCAAAAGAAAAGGCTGCAATACAGAGATAACTATTCTCAACCTTGGTTGCACAAATCCATCTTCTACTCCCACCAGGCTACAGTAGCAGTTTCTTTTTTGAATGAGAGTGTTTTTTTTTCTTACAATTATCCAAGTGGTGGATTCAACATAACCATGTTAACAACCATGAAAGGCACTTTATAAACCCTTTTTTGTAGTTTAAGTGGTAGAAAGTCTCTGTCAAACGATTACCTGCTGAGTTTGAAAATGCTCAAATGGATCCTTGGCAGATACAAACTGTATTTTGAGTCCAATTGTTGGCTTTTTCTTTTTCCTGGCTCTTTCATGAGCACTGTTACTGTAGGAGCCAAAGTTAAAGAACAACACTTGAAATGACAAGTAAGATTTGTATATATGTGTTTTGTGTGCGCTCTTTTTGCAGTTTTTAAGTGATTTTGGACTTTTTCAAGCGTTGCAGTTTCACTTTATCTGATAAATACATTATCAGAGATGTGGGGTTGTTGGCTGGTGTTTAAATGACTTTATCTTAACCAAACATACCTGCTTCAAACAAACTACACAATTAAAGATGAAAGATATTATTTTTCTTTCAACAATCAACAACAAATGACTTGCATCACGGCTGCTTGGCTAGCTCCCCTCCTTCTGCAGTCAACATGTTATTCATGATGGTTTCCCCCATGTTTCCCTTCAGTGACAAACATCAGG